TTGAACGCGCACTGCGGCATTTTGACGTCCTATTGTTGGCTATGATTCTACCATACTAATTTGAAATAAGAGCACAAACACTTTTGTGCTCTTATTTTTCGGGACGTTTTTGAAGCGCTTATCGGGAATCTAGTACTATTATTGATCGAAGTTCTGCTGCTACTATAACAACATATACCACTAAAAACTGGTTTTATTTTCTCGGTATTAACAACAACACCTAGACTCATATATAATATTTAGATGTTTGAGGGTTGTGATTTTAAAACATTCGTAGTCAGCTGTTCAGCTTTTTAATAATTAATTAATTGGTGACTAAAGAATTTTTGTTTTGAGTTGTTGCGAGTTGTAGGTAGGTACCTAATTTATGGAGACGTTAATAAGCTGAGATAAAAAGTTACTTACTCGTCAGCTGTTTCTTGCATTCTAGTTGAGTAGGCAGGTGTTGGAGTTTCTAAGGATTGGAGTTTTGTAACGCGTAAGTAGAAAGCACATTTTTTTTATTCTATAGAAGGATTTTTAAGCTATTGCATAGCTTTTATCGCGGGCTCTGAGCGCGGCGCGGCGCGGTGACCGAATCAAGAAATTCTCAAAACCTAACGGAAAATACCTGACACCACGCAGATTTTTTTCTTTAAAAAAAAAATGTTATGCAACAGCTTTACCGCGGCAGTCTCCGAGAGTGCCACATGTATTTTTTTTTTCAGACATCTTCAATGGTTGCAACTGATCCGGCGAGATAATTTGGAAAACAAACCTAACTTTAGTTCCTACCAAGTTTGTGAAAAACCTTTTTATTTGGAGGATGTATTACATTCATCAAATAGAAAACTTTTAAGAAAGAATGCCCTACCATTGTTGATGCTGCCAAGCTTAGCTAGTACTGATCCAGGAGTCTTTCTAAAAGAAGATAAACAAACCCAAACTGCTCCGTTGGTAGGAAATGAAAATAGTACACAGACTGAAAATGCAACAAATGAAATCTTAGCTCAAATCTCAACGAGTCTCTCTAGCAACACTCCAAGAAAAAGAAAATTGAAACTTGAACTCCTCCAATGCAGAAAGAAAATAAAATAATTAAATCTACCAATCAAAAAACAACACGCATTTTTATTGAACACTTCCTATTCAATATACAAAGTATTTCATTTATTTATATAAAAAGGATATTTACAATCACAAATCTAAATAGAAACAGAAAGTAGGCAAATATAATTAAAATGCTGGAGACGGGCAGCCCTAACGCATGTTTACGTACCGCGCGGCTGTAGGCATTTATTTCTATCATGCGGCCGAGTTACACTACTGTATTATAATTGTACCGTGGTTTGGGTGTTTTCTAAATATAATATGTATGCATTTAAAAAAAAATTATTTGTATTCTATCAGTCAATCTAGTTTTCATAGTACAAGCTCTGTTGCTAGTAGTAACAGCGTACAATTATGAAATAATTGCAAGAACAAGACTACGTCGGTGGCGTGGTGGTAGTTTATGCGACTGCTGTGCTGAGGTCTTGGGTTCGATTCCCGGGTCCGAACAAATGTTTGTTTGATCAACAAATATTTGTTTCGTAGTTTGGGTGTTCTCTATGTATAATATGTATGTATTTACAAAAAAAAACGGCCAGGTACGAGTCGAACTCGTGCGCCGAGGGTTCCGTATCTACTCAGATTTTACGTAGATTTTCACGAAAATTTGTGAGTACCAAAATTTTTCTTAATTTTCAAATTTTTTATTTTTTGGAATTGTGGTGTAAGACGTTTCTTTTTGCCAAAGTTCGTGATTCTAGGTCAACAGGAACTACCATATAGGTTTTCGACCCAAAACCTATAGGGTACTTCCGGTTGACCTAGAATTGACAATTTTGATAAAAAGCAAGGTCTTACAGCACAAGTAAAGAGAAAATTCTAAAAAATAAAAAAGTTGAAAATTAAGGTAAATTTTGGTACTTACAAGTTTTCGCGAAAATCGAAATTTGCCCATATCTTTTTATCGTGTTGACTCAGGACCTTGATTTTTATACACCTAATAAGTAGGGACCATAAACCTCAGTATCTGGTATAAATTTCAACTTGCTAGGTCTACTCGTTCCTGAGAAAATCGGTGGTGACAGACGGACAGACGGGCAAGAAAGTGATCTTAAAAGGGTTCCTTTTTTACCTTTTTTAGGTACGGAACCCTAAAAAAGTATACAAGTATTCTATCAGTCAATCTAGATTTCATAGTACAAGCTCTGCTTAGTTTGAAACTAGATGACGTTATTATTATTATTATAATAAAAAATCTGATTAATAAAAAATGTAAAAAAAAACTTAAACTATTGAACTTGAAATAATAAGCTATTACTGAACAAATAATTATTTCCAAAACAATTAGATTTATATGAATGTAGAAATAAGTTATTAAGAAGTAATAAATAGAGCAGTTTCCTTTTTTCTATATTTACATAGTCGTTAACTGTGTAATGCCCTTATTCCTAACACTATGTTTGAAAATATAGTTAACTATATTATTAAGTGTATCTCTAGTAGTTAATGTTATCAGCAACTCTACTAAATGAGTTTATTGACCCGTAAAATGAAGAATATTATTTAAATGTTTTCTTTGACATCAGGATCTTTCGGGGATCTAAAAAACTATTATAATTTTGCGCTAATAAATAGTAATTAGTATAATTAAAAAGATAACATTTTATTTGCATTTATCAGTATGCTAAACCTTTAAATATTTTAATACGCAAACTTAAACAAATACTTATATTTTTAAAGAAGTTATTGTGTAATTTATATTAAAAATATTTTACCTGCATATATCGTTTATTTTTTTTAAGTTCGAAAATCTGAAAAATATCCTTTTATACTAACAACAATATATATATATATATAAGAATTCGCGATAAATTAAATTAAATCTAATTAGCATTAATGCCCATTACTACTATGCGCGTCCATCAACTCGCGCAGGTTACTTGCGCGGGAACAGGCACGTAACCCGCGCGAGCAGCATGCACATCACACCAACCAAACTCGCTCAAGCTAGAATTTGCACCACTTGGTGGCGAAGCAAATAACTTGCGCAAGTGGTTTCGAATTTAAAAAGTGTGAAAGAGTGTATTTTGGCCATAGAAATCGTAATAATAAGACAGTAGAAGTCACATAGACGCTTGACTTGTCGCCGCAATGATGTGTAGACAAATACCATTTGAGGAAATTCACACCATTCGTGATTTAGTTGCGCGGTGCGTCGTATGTGAATTTTCAGTCTTTAAATGACGAACTGCAGCATAATGGGTTGTGAAAACGCATCAGGGTCGTGTAATTCAACTAATAAAGGCATGACATTTCATCGGTAAGTTTTTTTCATTAATAAATCATTGTTTTTACTAATTGACATCTCGATGAATCCTTTAGTAAGATGTCTTAGACTTTGTAAACATTCATTATTACTTTCCGTTTTGTACAATTACCATTGCTACTTTGGTTCTTATTACACGCGATGTTGATAAACTAGCCAAGCAATGTAATATGAAGCATTAGATATCGTTGTTCGTTGTGTATTTTTATCATGAGTAGGTAGGTATGTCGTGTCAAAGCATTGTAGCAAGATGATGTATGGTAGTGATGTGCCAACTCGGAAAAAAAACAAAACTCGATTTAACCCGAGTTAAAATCCACACAACTCGGCTTGAACTCGAATTACGTAACTCGAGTTAACTGGATAGACAAGTGAATGCTTTTTTGATTTTTTACCAGTTTATTCGCTCAGCTTCGCATTAATAGTTTAAAAAATTGGAACAGACAAATGATATTTTTATCTCTTTCAATTCTTTCATTTTTTTATAATAAATTGGGAGAGTTATACTAACTAAAGTAAGAAAGAAAATTATTGTTTGAAATCGAATCATTTACAAAATATAATATATATAAATATAATATATAAATAAATATTAAAAATACATAAATATTTTTGGCTTGAATTTTAATTTAAAAAAATATTCATTATTAATAAAACTATGAAATTATATAGCAGTCTTTTTAAAATAAAATCAGACTAACATTATGATGCAGGTATGAACATAGGTATGGATGACCCAGCTGTAAGACGGGTTTGAGTGTGCCTTAACCTTTTTTGAGGAGGCTCAACATCCAATGTGGTTGTCGATACCAGTGACTGCGATGAATCGGTCGAAGTACTCGTATTACTTTCATTTGTTGATGATGAACTCTGACTTGCCTCGCTACCAACATTAGGATTCTTTTTTTTTAATGTGTTAATCTCAAATCTACATATATGTGACACTTGTTTGTTATGAATGAATGAATGAACATACTCTCACTCAAATGATCGGCAAACTTTGCTCCATATCGGTTCCATTCGGTTTTCGAACTCGAGTCAGAGAAAATTCAATTCGAGTGGGTTCGAGTTACGCCCAACTCGAGTTAACTCGAGTTAGTTACTCGAGTTGACCATCACTAATGTATTGCGCACCTATGTCTTAAGAATGAAAGAAAGGGGCCTCGCTGATGCGACTTTGCCCTCGTCTATATTAGTCCACGCTCCGCCTCTGTCAAATTGTAAGTCGTAAGTAAGTAATAGAAACTTGCACAGTGGAGGATCCGTAAATGAGTAAATAAAATATTTTAGAATATAGGTACCTACCTAATTTAGCAGTGTTTTGCTAAATTGTACTGCAGGCTACAGCGTCTAACGGTGCGAAACTGTAGGTACCTACTACGTTAGATATAGATGTTTTTTCTATAAAATTATTTCAAGGTCTTATCTACACAATTATTCATGAACGTTTATGTTACTACAAAATTGATAGTTATCTTACACCACTTATCAGAGAAATAAGGTGTTTTTCATTGTTAATGTACATTTGTCTACTTGATAAGTACTTTTATAGTTTTTGCACCACTTTCGTTAACTTCAGAGGCGGCGAAAGACCGTTTTAAATAAATAGGAGATTATTTTTTTTGTAAGTGCTTGTAGTGACAGAATGATTTCAAACAATGTGGTTACAAGTGACCCAGCGCTGCATGTCCCTGGTCATTTGTCTTTTGCACAGTATATTATAGACAAATTAAGGGAAAATTGTGAACATGAAGATTTTGTCTGTGTGGTAAGCTTAAAAAAATACTTTCGCATCTACTAGTTCACCCTTTTAATATTTATTTAGTACTTAGATTACCATTCAAATTACCCTCTTCTTTATTTACTGTAGCCCGCTTTCAGGCTGGGAATTAGATGTATGTGGGGATATCCCATATAATTGTAAAGTATTGGTTACTAAAAATTATGTTTATTAAAATAACTTTAAAAAGGTTACGTAAGTACTTACAGAAATAGGTTAAGTTTATCTAATTAGTTAGGTTCATGTCAATAAATCTATTTAATTAGATGCTAAAGTCATTTGATAGCATAAACTAATGCTTGGGTGATGGGTGGGTGGATTATTGGACGAGAATTGAACCGGAAACTTTCAGGATCCGTTACAACCTCCAGAAACAGACCATAGTATTGCTCGGACATCTGTTACTCAGCTGATTGCCTGTTGATGAAACCTTTTGAATTAGAATAATGACCAATATTCTAATTTGGAGCTTTTTATTATTAGCGTAAGATAATAGATCTTATTTTTTATTAAAAAGAACTGCCACACTAAGAATAATTCTTGTTACGCGGGAAACAACGGCTACAACAAACACCCGGACTCCGGACAGCTCTTTATGGTTTATAAAATTTTTCGTCACATTCGGTAATTGAACCTGTAGGTTCTTGATGGGGAAGGTAAATGTTATTATTATGTTAGGTACAAATGATTGAAAAACTTCTTAGAAGAAACAAAGAAAAGCATTTTTTTTGTGGACGTTAGAACATACACTCCCAACATAAAATAAACTTAATACTAGGCGTCAGCGAAAATATATTTTTACGTGTACCTGGCGTACCAGTCGAATAGGACCTGGTACAGCGTCTACTTAACAGATGTCAAGCGCTGGTTTTCAACCAGACCTTTAAGTGACCTGTGAGTGACAGACGTCGACGTCTACAAATATCTTACCAAAATAATTATATAGATAATTCTATACCTACCTCACACATGTCGTCGTTATCACGCACAAGTTAAAGTGGGGCAAAGATTATCAGACAAGGCTAATGTCTTTACGTAGGTGTCTAAAGGTCAGAACATGGCGTGTTAATGTGTGTATACCTATGTGCTAGTAAAAATAATGTCTAATTAATCTGTAGGTCTGACAGAGTTATAATTTACGAGTAGTTAGATTAAAGGAACTTTGTCCTCAGATGTTAAATCGTCAGATAAGGATATCGGGATATTTTCTAAATAACGCTGTCATCAATAAATGGAACTCTTTTGGTAGTTTTAGTTTTCTTGGTTCTTTTGCAAGGAATTTCTCTTTATGTGACATTTTATTATTATTTTTTTTCCCAATTTTTGTTTTCTCCTTTCTAGGATTCTTGTTCAATTTTCATAGGTGTATTTATTAGTTGCAGCTTTTTTTTATTTTTCTACCGCGGTTCGATTCTAGTCTCGGTTGTGCACTTGGATAAGCAAGACATCCTATAGGACTAAGTAGAGTTTCCTCTTGCGACGATAGAAAAGCTGGTAATGAGCAGTTCCTGCGCGTTTTCTTGATCGGCACTGAGAACGGTTCTATTGGTATAATTTGGAGTAAGTCGTATAAGTCCGGCTTCTTGCTGCGAACATTCCTTCTTCTTTTTCACGTATCTTTGCAATGTCATAAAATTAACATTTTTTTCCTTTGCTGCCTTTCGAAGACTTATCCCACTTTCTATCATCAGAATCGCTTCTCTCATATTTTTTTTACTATGGAAGGCGTAATCCGTCTTCTTCTTACGAGTTCGCACCATCTTTTAAAATCTAAGTACAATATAAAAAGAAATGTCATTGGAGGGGTTTATTGTTACAGTGTCACACAGTGCCCCAGGCGAGGTAAACCGAAAAAAGAAGATTGTTGATTATTTTAGGCTATATTTACAAAAAACAACTTGACGATAATTTGAAGCTAAATATGCAGTGAATAGAGGAAAATCACAATCACTTCCTACATGTAAAACCTTAGGAAACAAATGAAAAACTTTGACTTAATTTTTTCTTTATTTGATCACATAAATTTGTTTTTTCTTTTCTCTCTGAAACGCGGTACAAACTGAGGCAATGACAACTGTTTCAATATGGTCGCCCATGAGCTTGTCAAAGCTGTGTACCAACATTAGAAAACTGAATGACAGAGAAGGAGATATGTGCATTGTAACTGTGTACCCCGTGTAACACAGACCCCCACCACCTTGCCCTATCTATTACTTCTTTACTAGAGCGAAAGGGAAGGAAAATGTGATCGCGCTGTACTCAGGCAAATGTTCTTTAGAAAAGAACTTTAAACACTATTACACAACATCCGACGTTTGATTACGTCATATTTTGTTCACACATAAACAAGATCATTAAGTTTCAAAGCGCAGGTCGAGAACTTGTTTGAACGATGATAAAATAATGTAAAAATAAATCTATTCACTTATTCAGTATATCGTGCAATAGAGAACACTTTGCCGTTATAATTTTATGATCCTTGAACATTTATAGTGAGTAAGTGTTAAATAAGTGATACACTACTGTACTACTGAAGTACTGAGTGAATAGTACTGCATAGCACTTAGTTCTTGTCAGTGTTATAGTTTACAGTGCCAGTGTTAACTCATAACATAGTGGTAGAGATAATTCGAACTGTGACCTTATAATTTGTATTTAAAGTGATACTAAAATGATCAAAAATAAAGTTGTTTCACATGGATCCGCACTGTCTGTACCTGGTCACTTGTCTTTTGCTCAATATATCATAGACAAACTTCAACAAAATGATGATTGCGTAGTCATGGTAAGATAATAAGTTAAATATATTTCAACTGATAACACCTTTTTTTTTGTTTATTGTTAGTCCCCATCTGTGGTCCTCAGACTCATCCTTGACATTAGCGGCCGGTTGTTTTAGGGTGATATCTATTGAATATAATTTATGTTGTTAGGTACTAAGTTTTACATACTTTATTAACATAACAAACGATTTTTTTAATGTAATAGTAGAAACTATCTACTCTTATTATAGTTCCATAATAAAAATATTTATGAAACACCTAAGTATTTGACACGTCATGGCCATGTGTGTAATATTTTCAAAATATATTTACATATAAAATTTACATAAATTTGAAGGCGTAATTAGGTACAGGTTTGAATTAAAGTACATATATAATTTAATTACATAAAGGTACCTATTATGATAAAATGGCAAATGATTTATATGTATACTAAAACCTTTGAAAAAAAAAATAACATGGTGATCCATGAATGCTGGATTTTGGATGGAATAGAGGCATCGCGAGGTTTTAAGGAATGAGGTGATCCAGCAGAGAACCAAAGTCATCGACATAGCCATAGTCATAGAATTAGCAAGATGAAGTGGCAGTGGGCTGGCCATATTAGCCGCAAAACCGCGATCTAAGTGGCGTGCAATGGGAGAGGTCTATACCCAGCATTGGATAGGCTGATGATGATGATGAGGGAGGTTTTAGTCTTGTTTGGCATATGGGTATAGATATTGGAATAGTATTTAATAGTACTATGGCGCCTTCCAGTGAATCGGAACTAGCAGCTATCACTTCCGACTCACCTGAACTGCTCACTACTGGCCCTGGCACGCTTCACAACAGAGTATGGACAGCTGATTCATCATGGTCTTGCAGGGGAGTGATGTGGCGACTTCCACATACTAAGAAACAGAAACATAATACAGCGCCATTTATCGAAGACACACCGAACTAAGGAGTAACTGCTAACCATGTATCGCTATTAGAAAAGTTCTCTCGCCGATTAGCATATAGCCGATTAGCGGCCCGCCAGGCATGATCATCTCGCCTGGTCGAAGAATCTTCACTTTGTGGTAGAGGGACACGACACCCGTACCTCCACAGTACCTTTAACTTGCAATGTATGCATTCTTTACTTTTCTTCTACTACTTATCTATATTATGTAGAATTCCAAAGCAAAAGATGTTTTCTAAATTACAACGAAATAGAAAACTAGAAAAATGAGACTTTGAGCATGAGAAAATATTTTTTTTATTTCCCTCAGGTCGTCTTTTTAGCCTCAATCTCTGACAGTGATGTTAACTTGTTTTGCGCAGAGAGGTGCTTAAACTTTCATTCAACAATTCTTTATGCAGATCAATGGCGATACCGGACACAAAATTACAACTAAACAAATACTGCAAGACACTGTCAATGTGGCTACAGGGCTCCAAAAGATGGGGGTGAAGCGAGGTGATGTGATAGGAGTGTGCAGTGAGAACAGAGATGAGTATATTTCAGCTGTGCTCGCTGTGATTTGCTCTGGAGCCACCGTCACGACTCTAAATGTGCTCTATACCAAAGGTTAGTGCAAATATTAATTTGTTTTTTGAGGGCATTTTCGCGCCCAAAGTGATTAAATATTCTGATGTAGTTCTGAATTAAATTCTTTAAGTAATTATAATATCACGTTTTTTCACTCGCCGAATTACTGAAATTGCACACATTTAATTCTCTTTATGTCCTAATAAACAGACAATAATAAAAATGTTAAGAAAACTCAAGCTAAAAACGCACACCTTATCATAGATTTTTTTGTTGTGATTAATTATTAAAAATATATATTTACCAAAATAAAAAGTAGTCTATAGAACTCAGGTATAATGTACCTTTCTAAGAGTACAATAATTTTCAAAATCGGATCAGAAGTACTGGAGAATACCTCAAACGTACAACCTTGAACGTTCTATGTAACAGAAACAACAAACAAAAGTAATTCTAATAAGAAAGTGAATATGCCATACATTTTAGTTAAACGATATTTAAGCCTATTACATTAAAATAATTTTCGCTTATCCAGTTTATGCATGCATCGATATAATGTATGAAGTCATAAGATAATCGGAATATTTTGGACACTTTGGATGACATTTGTTATTTCTGTAAACATTGTGTTTAAAAATTATGTGCCTTATTATTTGGACATATTAACCTTTACTTTATATCTTAAGCGGACTATACCTACATACAGACTTACCGCACGACTCTTATTCAATTTGCAGAGATAAAAAGTAGTGTAATTTTTACGACACATACTTAGCATTATTTAAAATTACAAATAATATCTCTGTTCATAAAGAGAATTCATTGTACGTAATTTTAAGAAAATTAACAAATGTATTAACCTGAAATTTGGCATAAAGTACTTACAAACTAATACTCCTCTTTACATTATAAAATCGTATGGTCTTCTTCTAAACTCAAAACTTAGGTCTAGTAAGAGACTCAGTGGTCTCTTTCTGTGAAGCTGTAATGCTCCAGAAAGAGACCGCTGAACGGGATCGGGAGAGGGCCGATCCCGAGCGAAGAAGACGTCGACGACGTAATGAGCAGCCGACGGGACCGCGGGCCGCCAGAGAGTGGGGACCTCTGGTGGCAGATTAATTGCTGCGGTAGGGGAAAGGATGGCAGCCTGATCGCACTGAAAATGTGATCGGGCTGCAACATCTGGATAGGCTGAGAGGCAGGGAGAAGCCACTGACTTTCCCTGAGATGGGACCTAGCTAGGCGGCGTCGATCTGGGGGACCTGAAATCACATGGCCCGGGTTCTCCCCAGAGCAGGGCGCCTAAGGCTGGCCGTCGGAGTGATTTTTAGTGGAATCACCACATACTCCTGGCTCCTATATCCCCAAGGAGCCGGAGATCCGAAGGGATTTTCCACTCCGTCAACAAAAAAAAAAAAAAAATGTCTAGTAAGAGACTAGACCTAAGTTTTGAGTTTAGAAGAAGACTATCCGTTTTTGGATGTTTTACAAATAAAATGAGTTTGTCCTCAATATCTATATGATTGATATCTAGGAATGTTTAATATTTTTTCTTTCAGAGGAAATGACCCACGTGCTAAATATATCAAAACCGAAGATGATATTTGCCTCTGAAGTTGGATTGAAACGAAATATCGCTACCATGAAATCAATATCCAGCATAAAAAAAATTATACAGTTCAACGGACCATTAGTAGATGAAACCGTAATTGACTTCAAGCGCGTTGGTGTGAAAACAGACCCGCAACTGTTCGAGCCCGTAGAAGTTCAAGGTTGGGCAGATACGGTGTTAATACTGTACTCTTCAGGAACGACGGGCTTGCCAAAAGGAGTCATGCTTACACATCTCAATGCACTTTATTCTGCGGCCAGTTTTAAGTAATTATCTAGTAATAATTAATAATAATACTTTATACACACTTAATCTCAGTCCCTTAAGGCAATTTGAAAACCCTTTTGGTCCTTGCCAAATTTCTAATGAAAGGATGGCAGCTCTATCTCAGTCTGAACAGTTAAAAGTCAAAAAGAAAATAGGAGGATATCTCTTGGAATAAAGTAAAATTGTTATATTGTAACAAAAACTCGTACAACAATTTTAAAATATATTACTGAACGTGTTTAGCGACCTTCATAGACTTAAAAAAACGAAATCCATATAAATGACATTCTTATTGAAAACTGTGTCTTATTGCAGGAGTTGTCTTTTTAAAAAAAAGAAGAAGAAAATATTATTATTAGGGCTTTAATGGCATTTATTGTCATTTTTAAGCCACTGATATTATTTACACGTTATGATTAGGTATAAAATTATAATAATGGATTCTCCAAATGGATTTAAAATCACGACCAATCAGTTTAATCCGTTCAATAAGTAGGTATTGTATAGTTAGCAGTAGGTTACTAGTACCGATAAGTCGATACTGACAGAGCTATTTCATAACTACAATGAGATGTCATATCTATGCTGTAACGATTTCTAAAGAAGTTTATTGAAGTAGTAAGCGTGCCATATTTTAGAGGTACATACTCGTACATGTCACACGTTCACGAGAAAGCTGGCACGTGGAGTCGCAGTCCGGGGGCGATAAATAGAGACGAATAGTGCGATTTTCACAAGTTAAAAACTATGAGGCCTGCAAAATATTCACTGTAAATGTTAGATAAATCTTTTCCCGACCACTGCGGGAGTAGACTTGTTTCTTCGGTACAACCCTAATGTTTGAGAACGCACCATAGTGTTAAGAAAATCTCGGAATGAATATGGTTTGTTATGTATGTCATAGGTATTTCTAACCACTCAAATCGGAAAATTTTACAGCCACGACAATAGACCAAAAGACAAAACACTATTAACTATAGTGCCATGGTATCACGCATTTGGTTTGCTATCAACTATAAACTACGTACTAGTAAAAAAACAAATGGTATATTTGGCTGGATTTAACCCTCTTAAATATTTGAGCACCATACAAGAATACAAGGTAAGTTGAATTACTTATTATATGCTCAAATCGAATATCAAAAATATCCGACGGTAGTGAACGTGAATGATATTAATCCACTCCCGGCACTTAATATACTGCGAGATATACACGTAGCCAAATACAATTGTTTCCTCATTAAAGTGTCTCCATTGCTTTCTAATAGAGACCTCTTTTCTATTACTATTCTAAATTATAATTATTTACTTAGTTTGAATGTAGAGCTTATTAGTGTAAGACGATTACCTACGATATTTGACATTAATACTTTTTATTCTCAAGCACCTAAGTGTTACGAGTATATTATCATCAAAATACGTCAATATGTACCGTTTAAATGAGCACAGATATCATCAAATTGAGCATGACTGCGATAGTCACACACTCAGTTGTCTAGTCTTTTAGATTGTTCTAGATGTACATGTACATATTTACTTTCGTTGATGTCCCACAATCAAACTGTATGGAAAGGAAATGTAGGCATAGGTGAAGTGTAACTTAGATGGCACCACGACACATTGATGAATATTTCATGCTCACTTCAATATTCATGCTTCCTAACATATTTCATTTTGTTTTAACACATTTTAATTTTTAACTCGTTGATCATCATAACAAATTTAATGGGAAACCATAACTGACTACCTATATCATTCTGAAATATTTATATAAATTTTGTTTAGTTTATGATAATCAGGATAGTTTTGTAAACAATAAATTTTGAACGCTCAAAGTGAATATTATTTTATACAATAATATCTTTGGTTTTGGATATACACGTAACATAGTTTCCACTAGTTTCAGTATAGAATCGAATGGCGTAAATCAAATTTTCGAAATGCATAAGTGTTTTGAATACACACAAGTTAACATTATTGATTTATCATCATTAGATGGTTGGGCCTAATATTGGGGTCTCAGACAAGGTCAGGGTCAAGGACAAAGTATTAGGTCAATAGTTCGACCTAATAATTTTTCTAATTTATCCGTAAATGATATACTTTCCATAATACCAATTTTCCTATTTTTAATTGACAAAGGCACAACAGTACAGTGAATACCCAATTTAACTTGTTCTTGGTAAGGTTTCATTCGTCTCTAACATTTCGATTCGAGGAAGCAGGCTTGGTGATCTTGAGGTCCTGAACTATAAAACATTCATTTTCATTTTAGGTAACCAGTTTGGCTGCAGTGCCTCCAATTGTCGTCTTTCTAGGTAAAGCCCCGATCGTGGAGAAGTATGATTTATCCTCCATTGCAGTTATATGGTGTGGCGCAGCACCTCTTAGTGCTGAAACTATCAAACAGGCTATGAAACGGTTAGTATACATAAAGGATATAAACATACACAGGACAGTTAAACTTGGTCTTTCCTACCGATCTCACCTAGAGTATCAATTAAATGTTGTTGAAATTACTTATGCATAGGCTTGTCGTGAATTAAAGTTCAATTTAGTTTCGGGTTAAATCGTGTTTTTTTAATTACTATTTTAGACTGAAATCATGTCCTCGTGGTTAATGACTAAAGAAGTCGCTTCGACCTTATTTTATATTCAAATACGATTCATTATGTACAGGCTTAAGTTTTACGTCACATTCTTTTCTAAAGTTATGCGATATGCTGCTAATAATAATTTTAGATAATAGTTTATTATAGATTAAAAAGTTTAGCCTACAAATCTTAAATTAGTTTGTGCTTAATTGCAGGCTGCCAAATTGTATTGGTATATTCCAAGCATATGGTATGACGGAGACATCATTGGTCGCTACGACAGACAAGATGGAAGACAATGTTAAACGGAAACCAGGAAGCGGTGGTTATCCTCTGGCTGGGGTGAAAGCTAAGGTAACCCGTGATCGCCATCATCATAATTGCAGAAATTGGACATTCATCATTCATTCATTTTGACGACCGGATAGCGTAGTGGTTTGTGTAACAGACTGTTACTCCAAAGGTCGCGGGTTCGATTCCCGCTCAAGTCAAACATTTGTGTGAATGAACATTTAATGTTTGACTTGGTCTAGGTGTTTCTATGTATAATGTGTATGTATTATCAAAAAAAGTATATAAGTATTTATATCAGTTGTCTAGTAGATACCCATAGTACAAGCTCTGCTTAGTTTGGGACTAGATGGCGTTGTGTGAATGTGGTAGGATATTATTATTACCTATTATTCATTGATAGCTATAAGTCTTCCTCGATACTTTCCAAGTAGACCGCTTGAAAGTCCTGACATTGACACCTATTTTTACTTAATATTCCATATGTAATATATTATTATTCTATTGTTATGTTTATATACACAGATCAATAACGAATTATTAATTACAGGTTGTAGACATAGAAACTCGCAAGCGTTTAGGTCCGAATGAAAACGGTGAGATCTGCCTAAAGGGGCCTATTATAATGAAAGGTTATGCGGGTGACGAGGCAGCCACGCGCGCTATGTTCGATGAAGAAGGTTACATGAAGACTGGAGACATCGGATACTATGACAAAGACGGATGTTTCTATATAGTCGATAGACTAAAAGAACTGATCAAATATAAGGGTAGCCAGGTAAGGAATTTGGTTTAAAAGTCTTCATAATAGCATTTAAGAATTCAGATTTTTTTTCTACGTTCTCGTATTATGGCAGTTATGTCTACGGTCATATTTTAAGCCCTATGGGTTTTTTTTAAGCCCTACTAGACTAGTCGAACAAGTTCAAAAACGTGTTAATTCTTGAAAAGGCTTCTAAAAATATGAACGATGGCTCATTCGATTCTGAATGACGCTTAGAAAAATGTATGGAAAGTATGTATTACTCGTAGCACATAAAAAATTGCAATTGTTATGAAAGATTGACGCTTCCAGTCCAATTTATGGCTAGTAATATACGCTTGAACGCTCTTCTAAATATTTCACTGAATTATATCACCGCCTTAGCCACCTTTAGCATACCGCAATATTTATTATAGTTACAATAAGAAGAAATCTACAACGGTAAAACGATAAGACGAAGAGACTGTGAAATTGTAGCTACCGTGACTACAATCCTCATAGCCCAACGCTCTAAAAATTGTAGCCTTGGTAGCTACACCCCTATTTTAAAAGCTAGCTATTGCCCAGGGCTTTGAACGCGTGATTAATTATTATTTCGTGTTTTTAACTTTGAAAATGACGAACTGCTACGAACACCCTTAGGGTTAAAATTTCCAAAAATCTTTTCTTAGCGGGTGCTTACAATTAAAAGGATTAGCTGCTTTAATGTCAAGTTTGTAGGGCTATCGGTTTAGGCTCTGCGTTGTTAAATCAGTCGGTCGGTCAGGTCAAGTAATTTATAGATCTAGTATTAATACCCCAGGCCCATCTTGAACTTTTCTTAATAGAGTATTTTTCAACTGTAGTTTTATGACATTATGATTTCAATGAGATATAGACGACCAGATGGCGTAGTGGTTTGTGTAACGGACTGCTATTCCAAAGGTCGCGGGTTCGATTCCCGCTCAAGGCAAACATTTAATGTTTGATTTGGTCTGGGTGTTTCTATGTATAATGTGTATGTATTTACAAAAAAAAAGTATTTATGGATTTATCAGTTGTCTAGTACATAGTACAAGCTCTGCTTAGTTTGGGACTAGTTGGCGTTGTGTGGATGTGGTAGAATATTATTGTATATTATTATTATTTCAGTATCAGATAATAAATTAATTAGCAAAGTCACGTGTAAAAACGCGCAAGATAACATTAGATATCATCTCCTTCCTTATTGAAATTACCTATTTGAGAAATGCGCAAATGATAAGCCTAGTGGAAATGCCAACGACACACGAATCCTGATTATTATGTATAGTTAACGCGATATGGGTAAAAATGCATATAATATTGTTTGGTTATGTAATATAATATTTATTTACACTATGTACAGTAGTGTTCCTACGTGTACATTCGGATCAACGTTTAAAAGAATATTTAAGTTTAAGTTCATACGGAAGAACTCTCCAAGCGAATCAGTTCTGCGTCATATGCCCTATTCAAACTGGCTCCGGTTTTAAATAAACATGCTCTACTAACAGCGTATCACGGTATGGTAGGATCAATCTTAAGATTTGGCATTATATTTTGGGGTAACTCAACGAATAGAGAACTCGTCTTTAAATCTCAAAAAAGAGTAATAAGAGCGATGTTTGGACTACAAACACTTGACAGCTGTAGACCATTTTTTAGAGACAACAGTATCTTGACTGTTCCGGCACTTTATATATTTGAAACAGCAGTCTTCGTTAAGTCTAATCCTAATATATTTAAACGTCTTCAAGACAAAACGATACGGAACAGACGAGATAATGATAGGTTATGCATGCGAAAGGCTCAAACTGCACTAATGAGCAAGAGTATTTTTTGCATGGCACCTAGAATTTACAACAGAATACCCGGGGCCATAAGAGAACTCCATCTACATTTATTTAAAGTTCACTTTAAAAAATATCTCATTAATAAATGTTTTTACACGATTGATGAGTTTTTAAATGACCGTGATACTAGTGTGCTTTGACGGTGACATTTCCATATTATCAATAATTTGACTTAACACATTTATTTGACCACTTAATTATTGTTATTGTAATTGCCTGATATTTGACCAATAAAACTGATTGTCATTAATTTATGTATTGCAATGTCTGTAGGTATCAGTTTCTGACGAAAAGTTTTGCACGCCTACCCGGCAGGATATGATGAACCTTTGTTAATTGAATTGTCCAACCCTGTACTCATATTCATGCAAATAAATGATTATTATTATTATTATTATTATTATTATTATTAAATGTCCGATGAATTAAATAACATCAATCTTTGTGTCAAGGATGAATAATATCTGTTTATCTCTATCATTTACGTACAGAAAAAATGATTATCCTGAAATAATCACAAAAACTAGAAAACGATTAAATTACTTACCAAAAATATTTCTACGAAATTGTAAAGTGAAATTGAGTTTGTTTGTTACACTTTCACGCCTAAACCACTAAAGCGATTTAAAAAAATCTTTCTCAAATGGAAAGCTACATTGTCAGCGAGTAACATAGGCTACTTTGTAACGCGAAAACCTATATACTCGCAGGAGGAGCCGCGGACAAAAGCTAGTACTTTTTAATTCTTATATAATGTTTACTAACAAGACCCGCACAGCTTCATCTGAGTTTCTGAAAAGGAATAAATTTTCCGTTTTTGCAACATTTTATACCTTTAGGCCTATAGCTTTCCTCGATATGGGCTATCCAAAACTATAATAATTTTTCAATTCAAACCAATAGTTCCTGAGATTAGTGCGTTCATACAGCAAACAAAAAAGTTCTTCGGCAAAAAATATTTTATACTAATATAGAATTAGTTTTGTCAGTAGATTGTATATAAAATGTAAAACACACACATACATATCACCAGGGTAATAAACTTCCTTGAAATTAGTTGTTTCCATTATTTTATCCCAGTATAATACAATAACTGTCGTGAATATTAATTTTAACGTTATCATTCAACCATTAATTTATAAAACAACTAACACCGCCCGCGTGTTGGTCGGTTATCATCACGCAAAATTAGCCTTTGGTAAAAATTGGTGAAAGAAACTTTAAAGTCGGTTTAGTAGTTTAGGCGAGAAAGCCTGACAAACAAACTCACTTTCATATTTATAATATAAGTATGAATTGATTAAAACGTTTATTTAAAAGAACTTTGTACCAAAAAAGGCCCTAATCATGCTCTAAGATAAAAAGTGAATTCATTTGCACGATTTAAGCGTATCATTTGATTGATAGCATTATCTTTAAATTTTAATGATGGCAGTTTATGATATGTTCAAAGTTTATTCCGGTAACGTACCTGATAATTTGAAAGGTTGTCACTATTATATAATGTTACTAGCAAGCTGATTCGCGCAAGTTAATATGCGTCTATGCCACATTTTCATTGATGCGCGGCTCCTACTAACATATCGTCTTCATCGGTTTAGTAATTGATTCGTTTATTTATTAATACATATGTTATGTATAATAATAGCGTATAATAATAACTTCACCCAATCTCACTCCGCCGTCTGATTTCAAACTAGGCAGAGCCTGTGCTATGGTAACCAGACTGCTGATAAACATACTTATATATTTCTAAATATATAAGTATGTTTATCATGTATATGTACATGTACAGTACATGTTATGTATCACACAATTATTTGACCTGGGTAGGAATCGAACCCACGACCTCCAGCTTAGCAGTGAGGGTCACTAACCACTAGATCCGTCCGCCAATTATTATATTGTAACAATGGTGTCAATCTTAATCGTCTCATAATTTTAAAATTTAAAACATTCAACATACACTAAAAAATTACAAGAAAAACTTCTGCTTTTTCTATGATACTATATTTTTGGTTCCTATTATGCGATGAGGGCTGTAAATGGGATCGATTATCTATCATATCCATCAGATATGTTGTCATTTTTCTATTCACCCATAAATATAATTTAATGTAACACTTCTTTTCATTCAGATAGTGTAGGTAATGGGAAACATACGAGGGCGGGTCAATAAGTCCGTGATTTTTTTGAATTTCTGACCTCTTTACTGAAAAAGCAACACTACTCCTGTCAACAGGCATCTGTCAGTTGACTCATGTCAAAATTTGAACTTGCTGCGTCAGTTAGTTTGTGTTTAACAGCTATCTTTATCAGACTACCCAGTAATTTGAGGGAAAAATGGAAAAAAGTGAATTTCGTGTGCTTATTAAGCATTATTTTTGCGAAAAAAACCATTACCGAGACCAAGGCTAAGCTTGATAAATACTATGGGGACTCTGCACCATCGATTTCAATGGTAAAAAAGTGGTTTACTGAATTTCGTTGTGGCCGTACAAGCACTGAAGATGCCGAACGTCCTGGACGCCCAGTTGAGGTCTCTTCACCCGAAGCAATCGAAAAAATTCACGATATGGTGTTGGTCGACCGAAGATTGAAAGTGCAAGAGATTGTGGAAGCCGTAGGGATCTCGCATGGCTCAGTGGTTTCAATTTTGAATGATCACTTGGGCATGAGAAAGCTTTCCGCAAGATGGGTGCCGCGATTGCTCACAGTCGACCACAAACGCAATCGTGTAACAATTTCACAGGAAGGTGTGGCGTTGCTTAATCGCAATATGGAGGAGTTTTTGCGCCGTTTTGTAACCGTGGACGAAACATGGATCCATCACAACACACCAGAGACCAAACAACAGTCAAAACAGTGGGTTTCTAAGGGTGAATCGGCGCCAAAGAAGGCCAAGGTGGGTTTGTCAGCCAATAAAGTTATGGCGACTGTCTTTTGGGATGCACGCTTGATAATCCACATTGACTACCTTCAAAAGGGAAGAACAATCAATGGGGAATATTATGCCAACTTATTGGACCGATTCAATGACGATTTGAAAAAAAACCGACCTCATTTGGCCAAGAAAAAAGTTATTTTCCACCAAGACAATGCAAGGGTGCCATGGCAACAATCCATGAATTGGGCTATGAATTGCTCCCTCATCCGCCCTATTCTCCAGATTTGGCTCCGAGTGACCACTTCTTGTTTCCAAACCTGAAGAAATGGCTTGGTGGAAAAAGATTTGACTCCAATGATGAAGTCATCTCGCAAACAAAGGCCTATTTTGAGGACTTCGACAAATCATATTTTTTGGAAGGGATAAAAAAATTGGAGAAGCGTTGGACAAAGTGTATAGAGCTCAAGGGAGACTACGTTGAAAAATAAAATGATTTATTTATCAAAAAATCTGTATTTTAATCCAAAAGTCACGGACTTATTGACCCCCCTCGTAGCATGCACTCAGAAGAATTATATTTTATTTTACAATGATATCTTTATATACCAGGTAGCTCCAGCCGCTGTGGAAAGCGTAGTGCTTCAACACAGTGGAGTAGCAGAATGTGGTGTAGTAGGCGCGCCCGACGAGGTCGCCGGTGAGCTACCTGTTGCCTTCGTTGTGAAGAAACCTGGATCTAACGTCACCGCAAAGGAGTTGCTTGACTTCACGGATGCACGGGTTTGTACAGCTGTCTCTTAATAGCCTCTAAATCAATCGCAAAACTAAGCATCTCTTAGGTTAAAAGACATTATTATTTGATTAATTTATATTCAAACATCAACTCGTTGCCAACACGATCGGTAACAGTTGGTTCGTTCTAAATTTATGTTAGCGGTATATCAATATTTATTACACATAAGCTCGTTCGCTTGTTTTAGGTAAAATCCTTGCATTTGAAAGATTTACGGTTTAAATCTTATCCGTGTGGTGACGGATTAAGAATATGGAGTGTTACCACCCCTATTCATCTCGTGGGTTTCTTAAGAGCCGACTAAAGGAACCAACTACGTAGGAAAACAGCAATGCAAAGAGAAAAGAAAACTTGACGCAAACCCTATACCGAATCGTCTGGCCAGCGTTTTATAGCATTCCGAAATCTCCTTTCTAAGAAGAAGCGTATGTCCAGCAGTGGACTATTAAAGGCTGTTGATGTGATGTGACGGTTAAATCTGTCACATCTTTTGAAAAAACAATATTGACGTAACTCAATGTAAAGTACAAGTACTGAGCCAACGTTACCCTCACACGTTGCTTCAGTTTTGCAAGAGTTATTTACGACTTCAACTTATAAACATAATACTACATAATAATATACCTACTACTCGTCGGATACTCATAAGATTAGAAGTAGTGGCTATAATAACTATCTTTACAGTTGCTACAGATATGGTCCGCAACGGTTAGATAGACTTCATTCAATATAAACATGACTTTAATTGAAGCAATAGATTCTAGATTGAACACAACACAAGCAATAGATTCTCGATTTGTTGAATCTACTACTACTACAAACGACTTTACTTCATTTTTTTCAGTTATCATCAAGTTCTCGTCTCCACGGAGGTGTTATATTTGTCGACGAAATACCAAAGAATCCATCAGGAAAGATTCTACGACGAGCGCTTAAACAAAAACTGTTGCAGAAATCCAAAAGTCATTTGTAATCGAATGTAATATTATATATCTGTATATATATATTGTTATTTGTTAATATTTGTGGTACTGGAAAATATAAATTCTATAAAAATTTTAAACTGCTTTTATTTGAAGAAATATTTTCTATATTTTGCTTTTATTACTGCTAGACTCCTATTGTATGTACTATCGTAGATTCTCGTTATAATTTCGATTTCTTAGGTATATATTTTAAAATTCGTAGGTACAATACAGTAGACAGCAAAAGAAGCAATCAGGTTGTTCGCTTCGTACGGCATATGAAAAACGTTGAAAAAAATGTTTTATCTGTATCCATATACTCGTGATGGCAAGATCTTATTACATGCAGACATGGAATTGATTACATAGACCAGGATGCTACTCTACTCAATTACCTGCATTATAAACTGTATGGTAAGTCCCTCGAGGACGGCTCGTTGTCCATTACGAGAATGATTGATTGGCGTACATGGAGCTTTGTAGGCGACTACGGAATATTATATAGCTGTACATACCACCGGGTCGCGATCCAATTATGTCTAATGGATGAACTCCCAATGCTCCTGCTTGCTGGCAACCGATAAATTACGGTAATAAGCACTTATAATGACTAAACTTTTACTAAGCATGGTTTATTCTAAAATTTACATCTCGATATAAGAAGGTCGACTAAATAAATATCTCTTTTCCGTATAAAAAAGTATGATAATTAACTTTTAAAATATATCGTCAATTTCAGTGCACCTAAACCACGACCGATGCAACTCCCCAGACTTCCCAGAATCCATCCGTTTAAACAACATCCCTTATTCAATCGCAATTCAGCGCAATCATATAGTTTTAAGAAAATGGTACAGGAATTTCATGTTCTGAATTAGGTAAGTCAGTTACGAATTAAGGTATGATGTGAATGTTTTCTTTGCTATATGTGATATACTTAAGTAGTTTTAGTATGTGTTGAAAAATGTTTTCTATTCATCTGCAATTTTTATACAGTCGAATTCGGATCCTCTTTAAGTCTCATAAAAAAGTAGGCAATTCTCAATTCCGTTGTATTTTTTTTTACGTTTGTTACTTAGAACTTAGAAGTCATTATTATTATTTATTCATGTTATTCCTGACCCGATTTCAAATATATTTTATTAGAATATATTACCCGTTTGGTCCCATTTAAAATATTGTGAGTAGTACTATTGAGTTTTTATACAGGAGAAATAACATTTGAAAAATTTAAGTAAATATGAGAAAAAAAAAAAAAGAAAAAGTATTTATTAAAAAGTAGCATTAGTAATTAATATATTACTATTACTTTCTGCATATTATATCCATGGGTATTATATAATCAGCTAATTAAAGTATAATCAGCTATCTAATTGATGATTAAATACTTACGCATGTGGTTTGTAAACAAAGTGTATTTCTATTCGTCATATTTTAGGAATGATGCCAATAACGACCACCTGATCCTCGAGTTATAATATTCTCATTTATTGATTTTGGCATTGTATCAAGACTTCTAAAAGGAAATTCAAAAATATGAACTAGATCATACAAATCATTCAAACTGAGGATACGTCCGGTAGCTATAAACGCCAGACTATTTGACTGTGTGCAGATTGCAACAACGTAAATGAAAACTATATTATGTGAATGTAAACATTTTTTCTATGCTCAATATACAATTAAAGACGACTTGCTTTGTTGTTTTAAGTTACTTAAAAAAAGATCTTCCTTTAAACGTCTTAAATATCCGGACTTCCATGCCAACATCATGTAACAAAAAATCATACGTTTCTCCAAAAAGACAATCGATTCATTCGAAAATTTGCACACCTATGGAAGAATGACTACACGAGATTAGAATTAAAAAGATTATTGCTTAAAGGAATTCAAAAACATCACTTTTTATAGGAATCCTAATTAAAACACACTTTTAACAGTTTGACTTGAGCCTAAAATCTTACATACTCGTAGATGTAGGTTATTAATGGTAAAAGTACATTATAAATTTTCTGCTTTAGGTGGCTTTGCTTTGTGGTTATATCAAGGTACCTATAGTTTATTTTAGTAATTGTTTAAGTAATTACGCATTACTCCTTAGGATACTGGATCTGATCGGCTGCTAAGAGACAAACAAGGGAACTCCTTTACAAATGTATAATATATACTAACTTTTAAACTTTCGCGTTCCATGATAATTAATATTATTTAACGGGAATTAACGCGATCTCTTATTTAGGGTATTACATACCTCTGGTTTGCCTGACGTTTCGACCAGGTTGCACCGGCCGTGGTCACAGGCTGACTGGCTCATCGGCGCACGCCCTCCGTCGTCGAATCCGTGAAGTAGAAGGCTCTTCATCTACCCGCACATTTTCGATATTATTTTTGTGTCGCCATGTACCGTCACATACCACACTAACAGTGTCCCTATTCTGTAAGCAAACCGATGAGTCCCTATTCTGGTGTTTAACCGATTGCGCAGAAAAGCGAGGTGGTATGTTTTTTAACACTGGATTCCACGCTGTAGATAATTTAAAACCATCTTCCCGATTGAAAGTTTTATGCTTTTTAATCTCAATCGCTTCACGTACAACTCTTGAGTAAAAGTGACGTTCGGTGGAGAGGACTTGCGTTCGGTGAAATTCAATCCAGTGGTTGATGCCTGCATCGAGTGCATGTTCTGCAATCGCTGATTTGCTCGTCTGTCGGTTCTTCACAGCAGCGATATGCTCTTTGACCCTTTCTGCAATAGTCCGCTTAGTTTGGCCTATGTATGAGCTTCCGCAGCTGCAGTCTATTTTGTAAACACCCGGAGTTTGTAGTGGCAATGTATCCTTCGGTGTGCCGACGATGTTGTGAACCTTTATGCCTGGTGTGTATACTGTCGGAATGGAATATTTCTTTAGTACAGACCCGATCTTGTCCGTAACTCCCTTATATATATATATACACACCAGGCATAAAGGTTCACAACATCGTCGGCACACCGAAGGATACATTGCCACTACAAACTCCGGGTGTTTACAAAATAGACTGCAGCTGCGGAAGCTCATACATAGGCCAAACTAAGCGGACTATTGCAGAAAGGGTCAAAGAGCATATCGCTGCTGTGAAGAACCGACAGACGAGCAAATCAGCGATTGCAGAACATGCACTCGATGCAGGCATCAACCACTGGATTGAATTTCACCGAACGCAAGTCCTCTCCACCGAACGTCACTTTTACTCAAGAGTTGTACGTGAAGCGATTGAGATTAAAAAGCATAAAACTTTCAATCGGGAAGATGGTTTTAAATTATCTACAGCGTGGAATCCAGTGTTAAAAAACATACCACCTCGCTTTTCTGCGCAATCGGTTAAACACCAGAATAGGGACTCATCGGTTTGCTTACAGAATAGGGACACTGTTAGTGTGGTATGTGACGGTACATGGCGACACAAAAATAATATCGAAAATGTGCGGGTAGATGAAGAGCCTTCTACTTCACGGATTCGACGACGGAGGGCGTGCGCCGATGAGCCAGTCAGCCTGTGACCACGGCCGGTGCAACCTGGTCGAAACGTCAGGCAAACCAGAGGTATGTAATACCCTAAATAAGAGATCGCGTTAATTCCCGTTAAATAATATTAATTATGTATAATATATGATCTAAGATACGAGGGCGGGTCAATAAATCCGTGACTTTTGGAATAAAACACAGATTTTTTGATAAATAAATCATTTTATTTTTCAACGTAGTCTCCCTTGAGCTCTATACACTTTGTCCAACGCTTCTCCAATTTTATTATCCCTTCCAAAAAATATGATTTTTCGAGGTCCTCAAAATAGGCCTTTGTTTGCAAAATGACTTCATCATTGGAGTCAAATCTTTTTCCACCAAGCCATTTCTTCAGGTTATGGAACAAGAAGTAGTCACTCGGAGCCAAATCTGGCGAATAGGGCGGATGAGGGAGCAATTCATAGCCCAATTCATTGTCTTAGTGGAAAAGAACTTTTTTCTTGGCCAAATGAGGTCGGTTTTTTTTCAAATCGTCATTGAATCGGTCCAATAAGTTGGCATAATATTCCCCATTGATTGTTCTTCCCTTTTGAAGGTAGTCAATGTGGATTATCCCGCGTGCATCCCAAAAGACAGTCGCCATAACTTTATTGGCTGACAAACCCACCTTGGCCTTCTTTGGCGCCGATTCACCCTTAGAAACCCACTGTTTTGACTGTTGTTTGGTCTCTGGTGTGTTGTGTTGGATCCATGTTTCGTCCACGGTTACAAAACGGCGCAAAAACTCCTCCATATTGCGATTAAACAACGCCAAACCTTCCTGTGAAGTTGTTACACGATTGCGTTTGTGGTCGACTGTGAGCAATCGCGGCACCCATCTTGCAGAAAGCTTTCTCATGCCCAAGTGATCATTCAAAATTGAAACCACTGAGCCATGCGAGATCCCTACGGCTTCCACAATCTCTTGCACTTTCAATCTTCGGTCGGCCAACACCATATCGTGAATTTTTTCGATTGTTTCGGGTGAAGAGACCTCAACTGGGCGTCCAGGACGTTCGGCATCTTCAGTGCTTGTACGGCCACAACGAAATTCAGTAAACCACTTTTTTACCATTAAAATCGATGGTGCAGTGTCCCCATAGTATTTATCAAGCTTAGCCTTGGTCTCGGTAATGGTTCTTTTTCGCAAAAAATAATGCTTAATAAGCACACGAAATTCACTTTTTTCAATTTTTTCCTCAAATTACTGGGTAGTCTGATAAAGATAGCTGTCAAACACAAACTAACTGACGCAGCAAGTTCAAATTTTGACAGGAGTCAACTGACAGATGCCTGTTGACAGGAGTAGTGTTGTGTTTTCAGTAAAGAGGTCAGAAATTCAAAAAGTCACGGACTTATTGACCCGCCCTCGTATTTACTACCGGCTTTAGTTAATAGTTCACAAAATAACTAAATACAGTCAGAACTTGGCGACATATACAGATGAACAATGAATCTCGTTATAGGATTTTCTTACTAGAATTTATTATGTATGTTACTGTTAAAGTGTAGGTTACATGACCACTGCACAGAGTAATCTTCAACAACTTAAGAATACTCGTAGTTTTAGTTTCTAAAATGATGCTAGGTATGGTATTTGTACATATATTTTTTATTTATTTTCAACTGTAATGACACAAACTAATTTTTTTGCTCGTTTTCTCCACCACTTCAGCTGACTTTAATTTTAAATAAATATTTATCTTCCTTAGAGCCTTTTTCCCTAACATTTTTTTTAAAGTGTGGAAACCCTCTCGGGCCGTCACCTCACCGGGGTTTGCGGCGGGGCGGTGTGTGGAAATCGAACCGACTAAAACCACACGGTGTGCCACTTCGCGCCTGAGATAGGAGGGGTCCGGGAACAGCTGATATTAAGACATCCGGACCCCTCTCAGCGGCCGCCCGCAACAGCGCGGGCACCACCTTTGGGTAAACTCTCGATTTAGGCGACGTCCGGCACACGCGGACGTCGCCTCCTCGCGGCTGGCGACCATAGCGGATGGAGGAGAAAACCCTCGAAAAACTCAAAAAACAGGCGGGACTCAATTCCCTTCTAGCGACCGAGTGCAGGTACTTCCCAAAGCCGCCGTGCCCGGAAAGGACCTGCGTGAGTCGGAGGGAAAGGGTCCCGTGCTGCCACCCTGCCCACTCAACGATGACCGACTGGAGCGCCTCCACAGCGGCAAAGTCGGCACGTGGAGCCTCCATTCGGGACGACCAACGAGCCATCGTGGCTTGGCGAGCGGCCTCACTCCCCTTGCGTATCTCTTCGGGCGGGCACTATCCTCCCGGAACTCAGTCGTCTACCGATATTCTTTACCGGCCAATGCGCACGCCGCCTCTGTCGAAACGGTGCGGTAACCTAACTCTAACCTAACCAACCTAATTGGCTCTAACCGCCGAAATATCCTCTGAGGGCGCCAGAGGCGTGCCCTATTCTGGGCGGTCAGAGACGCCACCCACACCGGTGCACAGTACACCGCCATTGACCGGACAACCCCCGTGTACAGCTGTCTTGTAGCTTCGCTGGCTCGCCACGCCGACCAGCTTTAGAGCGTCGAAGAGCCACCTCCCAGGAGGAAGAGCCAGGAGGAGGACCACGACGGTGCCCATGAAATAAGATTGCCTCCATCTTATCCGTAAGCCCAGCGCCTCAATGCGCCTGACTCGTGGTCCGAGAGACTGAAAGTCCGCCCCCCGGGCCGTGACCAAAGTGTCATCGGCGTAAAAAATTGCACCCAGCCCGGGGGGGAAATCAGCTCGAAGGGCCCAGTCGTATCCTGGAACACATAGGCCGCACATAGGTCGACACCTCAAATTACCATCTCGGGCCTCGCACACGACGGTACGATCCTCTAAATAGTCTGCCACTAGCCGCCTTAGGTACTCTGGCACCCCGTGATAGTGCAGTGCTTAACTGATGCAGCTAAATGGCAGACTATTAAATGCGTTGGCGATGTCCAACGACACCGCCAACAGCACGCCGCCACGGCTCACCGCCTCTTCGGTCACGGTCTTGAGGCGCAATACACGTCAAACGCCCCGTCGAAAACCAAATCAAATCCAAATTTCACATCCCTAATGTAAAATGCTTAAACAAGGGTACAAAAAAAAATCTTATCATGTAATTAATATATAGGCATGTAAAATATAAAATATCTTGTTTTAATAAGAAATAAGATAGAGGCCTGCTGCTCCGTTAGCACATTGCTTGCATAATTGCAAATAGACTAGTCTGTTGTGTTATGAATCGTTGGTCGTGAATTATAGTGGCAACACATGCAGAACATACAACATCAGTATAATTATGGTTCATTTTTTTATGGTTCCGTACCTCAAAAGGTAAAAAAGGAACCCTTATAAGATCACTTTCTTGTCCGTCTGTCCGTATGTCACCACCGATTTTCTCAGGAACGAGTAGACCTAGCAAGTTGAAATTTATACCAGATACTGAGGTCTATGTCTATATTAGGTGTATAAAAATCAAGGTCCTGAGTCAACACGATGAAAAGATATGGGCAAATTTCGATTTTTGCGAAAACTTATAAGTACCAAAATTTACTTTAATTTTCGACTTTTTTTATTTTTTAGAATTTTCTCTTTACTTGTGCTGCTTTACCTTGCTTTTTACCAAAATTGACAATTCTAGGGCAACCGGAAGTACCCTATAGGTTTTGGGTCGAAAACCTATATGGTAGTTCCCGGTGACCTAGAATCACGAAATTTGGCAAAAAGAAACGTCTTACAGCACAGGTAAAGGAATAATTCCAAAAAACAAAATAAGTTGAAAATTAAGATAAATTTTGATACTCACAAATTTTCGCGAAAATCTACGTAAAATCTGGGTAGGTACGGAACCTTCGGCGCACGAGTTCGACTCGTACCTGACCTGTTTTTTTTTTGTAAATACATCTATATTATACATAGAGAACACCCAAACTACGAAACAAATATTTGTTGATCATACAAACATTTGTTCGGACCCGGGAATCGAACCCAAGACCTCAGCACAGCAGTCGCATAAACTACCACTACCCCACCGACGTAGTCTTGTTCTTGCAATTATTTCATAATTGTACGCTGTTACTACTAGCAACAGAGCTTGTACTATGAAAACGTAGTTACGTATAAATAAGGATTAACGAATAAAACCAATGAACGTCATGGCAATGACAAATGTGTTAATTCTTTTAAGTTAATAAGTTAAGTTATCGGAAAAATGAGTGGAAAATCAAAGACAAATGAAGCCGAAGACCGACATGTTGTAAAAAATTGATACAAATCTATAGCTATAGAAAATATTTTTAGCTATGATCTTTTACCTATAATGATTTATTGGCAAAAATCAAATATACATATAATTATAGATATTAGTTAGATATATATCTACATATAGGTACAACAGATATAAATATAAGTATTAATTAGGTAAGCATGCTTAGAATTTTTAGCTTACAATCCAGGTTTGAATCGGTCACGATTACGACAGTGATTTCTTACTGGATTTTTGTTGTGCAAAATCTTCTATTATGTCTTCAAGGTATAGACCTTGTCACATTCACATCTTGTCACTTTGTCACATTCTATGTAAATTCACATTTGTCTTGTATTCTTGACTGAACACTTGTCTTCTGTTTTACTAACTTTATTATTAGTTTATCCCCACCCACTTCTCTGGTGTTCTTAGGTAGGAAGCTACATGCCAATTAAAAAAAACCCTTAACAAAATACCCATTGGGTAAATGCTCCAGACCCTTACTTACTAGGTACTTTTTAGGTATCTTTCATAACTATTATTAATTTGACCAACAAATTTTGTAAGCTGTAATTTATAAATACATAGAGTCATTGAATATGAAAAACTTCCAGGCCAAAAGATAATTTTTCAGTACAATAAAAAAGTTTCGATGTTGACAAAACGCGGCACTACCCATTTCTTATCTGGAAAGTTTGGCAATGCCACATTGTCTGCCGTATTCGGCAATGTCATGGGCCGTCATTATTCGGGGTTTCCAAGTCGCCAACAACGCCCCCATTTACTTTTTTCATTTTTATTGTCGGTTTTTATCGATCTAAAATAAAAATAAAAACATATAGTGTTTATATCGCTTTTCGGAGCAACCGTGATGATAGCCGATGTTATAGACGGTACTGTCTACACGTTAAAAAAAGAAATTAATTACATTACGTGTATGATTCCTAAAGTCTTTATTTTGTGCAGTTGCATGTTGTTCACCATCATAGGTGATGTAAAATTAAAGAGCTGCACAACATGCTCTGTCAATAACTGCAAGTAAGTGAAAAACACTACGATGAAACAAAACGATTTAAACTTTAATAACTTATGTAGACATCTTTTTCTTATACGCTAAAATTTTGAACTTTTATATGATATATACATAATAATATATGAAACATATGTACCTACCGCCGATACGGTAATTATTGTTTACAACGGGAAACATGACTACACTTATAGAGTATCTTTTCCAAGGTATATAATATGATTATACTCAGTAGTGGTCACTGGGTTTAGTGACGTGTGTGCTTATAGTTCATCGGTTGGACGGTTGGCGAATAACGCGGGAGTGAGCGCGCCGGACTCTCAGGGATACGAGGCCGTCCGTCCGCTCGTCTGCCGCACTCACTCGACCGATCGCGGCTGATACACGTGCCCAGTGCCACACGCAGACTTATCTATTTTATTTTTTAAGCGAAACTTTGAATTGAAACATGTAGCGGTATCATTATGTCGGTGTGTGGTCAAAGCGGTCACACGGAAGAGGATAGCGCGTCGGAGGAGATTGGCGTCCCATTCCGGGACAAGACATCTGATATTTACAACCAGAAGCCCGCTAGTAAAGTTGTACGGGTGCTGACTGTGCTAGCTTACCTGCTGTCAGTGTCCTTGGCTGCGATCCTGCTATCCGTGTACTACATCTGCGTGTGGAAGTCACCTGAGCTACCTCTTAGTGAGCCTATTGAGCTTAATGCTCGCCGCGGGAATCGCAGCGACTACGGAGAGGCTGACTATGCTGGCAAACCATTTTTCTTCAGTGGTAAGTCAATTTTAATTTTTATCTTTATATTTTGTTAGCAGTTAAACTTTTTGAAATGTTTAAAAATTCGGAACTAATTAGCAGTTGGCTATTCATTCATCGAGACTAAGACGGAGGCTTTTTATCATGCCATTTAATTAATAATCGTACGTCATGTCAAACTTACGGGTAAACGTTATAAAATTACTATTTTTGTTAACCACCTGATATAAGTACAATCATCGGAACTCTGGCCTTTTTTTGGGCCTGGCCATCATAACGCGTTTTCCATTAATTACTTAATTGGGTGAAATCAGTATCATTACTTAATTGTTGGGTTAGTTTGGTATTGTAAGGTACGACATACACTGTTTTTGTATGTATTCATTTGATTATATTTGTATTTCTTTATGTTCGAACTTAGTTTAAAATAATTTGTAATGTTTTTGATTAATGACATTTAAAGTTTGCCATATTAAATGTGAAAATAAAATATTTGTCATCAAATCAAGTAATATTGTGTTGATTTCAAAAGCACCACTTCCATCACTTATAACCCAAAAGCACCCAGGTAAAATTTCAAATACTTAACGAATTCCCAGATAAAGAGTATACCATTGTTGTTTTGACATGGGTTGAATGACAACAAGTAGATACCGATAGGTGCCTATAGGGGAGCGTCGTTTTCTCCGAACATGGTTGAATAGTTTCATCCGAGTGAGTTATCCAAATGTTAGGACTATCTGTATTGATCGAGTCTGGAGTTCTTCTAAAAATAAATAACAAAAATGACGACAAAACTTCTTTTTATGTATGTATGTATCTTTCTTTATGTAATATATTTACTCTTTTAATAATAATTAAATTAAAATAATGCGAATCAAATGTTTTATTATCCAATTAAAAATACAATGTATTGAAATTCAGGAATACATTATGTCGCATTACAAATTGTAAAAAATGTAGGTACTTTTAAAAGAGAAGAATAAGGGCTAGAACAACAAAATATAGGAAATCTATATTTTTAATTTATCTACACATAATATTTACTTTTAGCTGGTTATATCATAAGTTGGTGTATTGTCTGGACTAAAGCTTTAGTCAATGCAACACTTATATAACTGTAACACGACAACACCTATATAAATTTAGGAATAACTAACATAATACCTCTCTATATTATGTTACCCTAACAATCCCTCATGTCAATTCTGTGTAATAACCTTTGTAGCGATGCTGCAGGAATTAGATCACACATCCAACTCACTTCAACTTTTGAACCCCTGTGGAACGCCTCCGGCTATACGTCAATACTTGGAATTGCTGCTGAGAAAACCCAATAAAAAAATACATGTCCTGGTAATTGAATCCAAGACCTCACCTTTACAAATAAACTGCCACCTAATATCAAGTGACTTTACACCGTTTTTCATTAAAATCCTATAATGTACCTTCAATTGTTTATACTTAATACATTGGAAATATCGTGACGACAAACATAATACAATATCCATATACTAGGTTGAACACGAAGGGTTTCCTGTAATCCAATTAGCTTAACCCAATTGTGTTCAAAATTGAACATCAATTACTTCATTCACTTGAGTTTTGGGTTGGCTTTCGCTGTATTTAGTACACCGTTTCATAAATAAGCTGTTTACTTTCATTAGTATTTACAAATTAATATATTTACATTGAAATGTAATTAGGCTTATTTTTAAGCCAACTTGCCTAACCTGGCCTAACACTTGGTTACTTTTGTACTAATTTATAATTATAAACATTGATTAGTCAGCTCAGAATAAGCAATGACAGTAATAAATCCAGTAATTATCGATTTGTAAGTAAGAAAGAAAAGAATAATTAACAGACATTTAAGATTTAGTAGGTACGCCCGAAAAGTTTACTTGTATCCCCAAGAAGCCGGAGATCAGAAGGGATTTTTTAACCCCGTTACCAAAAAAGAAGCCCGCGCTGAAATCTTCACCAATCGCAACGGCGAACGCGCTCGCTGTCGACAGCGAATTGATGTGAAATAGGCCTAGGCCCCCCGAATAGGCATCGAACAAGATAGTCTTAGCAAGTGACAAACTGTGCATATTGCTAGTTTTCAAATTAGACCATCTGTGCCTCGCCGATGAAATAAAAATAATTTACTTAATTAATTAAACCAAATATATTTATTTTAAATTAGAAGTCAGTCTGACAGATTGAGTCACTCGTAAATTCTATTTAGAAGAATAGACGAGAAACTCCATAGACTAGAAAGACTGCCAAAAAAAAGTACGAGTTGCTTGTTATAATGTTTAGAAATAAGCGCAAGTTAAGTTGCGTAACATGTTGTTCTAAAATATTAACAATCGGGCATATTTACGTCCAGCCCGACCGGAGTGATACCCCAGTCTCACAGAATTAATACTTTCGTCGCTTTTCACCAAGTAAGTGAGGTTACCGGAGCCAAACCGGCCATCGTGACATATTCAGAAAAATTAACTTACTTAATACGACACCACGATTCTCATTTGAACATTTTGAAATTTTTACTTACTTTATCATCATCAACAACAGCCTTTATAATTAATATTATTTAACGGGAATTAACGCGATCTCTTATTTAGGGTATTACATACCTCTGGTTTGCCTGACGTTTCGACCAGGTTGCACCGGCCGTGGTCACAGGCTGACTGGCTCATCGGCGCACGCCCTCCGTCGTCGAATCCGTGAAGTAGAAGGCTCTTCATCTACCCGCACATTTTCGATATTGTTTTTGTGTCGCCATGTACCGTCACATACCACACTAACAGTGTCCCTATTCTGTAAGCAAACCGATGAGTCCCTATTCTGGTGTTTGACCGATTGCGCAGAAAAGCGAGGTGGTATGTTTTTTAACACTGGATTCCACGCTGTAGATAATTTAAAACCATCTTCCCGATTGAAAGTTTTATGCTTTTTAATCTCAATCGCTTCACGTACAACTCTTGAGTAAAAGTGACGTTCGGTGGAGAGGACTTGCGTGCGGTGAAATTCAATCCAGTGGTTGATGCCTGCATCGAGTGCATATTCTGCAATCGCTGATTTGCTCGTCTGTCGGTTCTTCACAGCAGCGATATGCTCTTTGACCCTTTCTGCAATAGTCCGCTTAGTTTGGCCTATGTATGAGCTTCCGCAGCTGCAGTCTATTTTATAAACACCCGGAGTTTGTAGTGGCAATGTATCCTTCGGTGTGCCGACGATGTTGTGAACCTTTATGCCTGGTGTGTATACTGTCGGAATGGAATATTTCTTTAGTACAGACCCGATCTTGTCCGTAACTCCCTTGATATAAGGCATATAGGCTGGTTGCCTGTTCACTTCTGGATACTTGCGTCTTATTTTCGGTTGCTTCCGTCCTCCTTTCACTTGATATCCGTTACCTTTGAATACCTCCTGAACATGTTTTAGCTCCTGTACTAAATGTTTAGGGTCACAGAGATCGTAAGCTCTGTTTTTGAGTGAAGTCATAACAGATTGCAAGTGCCGGGGTGATGATGAGACGTGGCGTGTAGGTATCTGTCCGTATGAGTAGGTTTACGGTACACACAGTGTGACAAGGACCCATCCGATCTCACGGCTACTTTAACATCTAAGAAGGACAACGACCTGTCCGTCTCCATTTCATATGTAAACCTCATTTTGGGGTGAATAGAGTTCAGATGTTGTATATATTGATCCACTTCTTGTTTGTTTCCTTTGACGATACTGAAAATGTCATCCACGTATCGCTTCCATAGCTTAACGGTATTCGGGCCGAGATTTAAAGCCTTCTCTTCAAAATGTTCCATCCAGATGTTGCCCAGTACTGGCCAACATCTAAGGGTCAAAGAGCATATCGCTGCTGTGAAGAACCGACAGACGAGCAAATCAGCGATTGCAGAATATGCACTCGATGCAGGCATCAACCACTGGATTGAATTTCACCGCACGCAAGTCCTCTCCACCGAACGTCACTTTTACTCAAGAGTTGTACGTGAAGCGATTGAGATTAAAAAGCATAAAACTTTCAATCGGGAAGATGGTTTTAAATTATCTACAGCGTGGAATCCAGTGTTAAAAAACATACCACCTCGCTTTTCTGCGCAATCGGTCAAACACCAGAATAGGGACTCATCGGTTTGCTTACAGAATAGGGACACTGTTAGTGTGGTATGTGACGGTACATGGCGACACAAAAACAATATCGAAAATGTGCGGGTAGATGAAGAGCCTTCTACTTCACGGATTCGACGACGGAGGGCGTGCGCCGATGAGCCAGTCAGCCTGTGACCACGGCCGGTGCAACCTGGTCGAAACGTCAGGCAAACCAGAGGTATGTAATACCCTAAATAAGAGATCGCGTTAATTCCCGTTAAATAATATTAATAATATCATGGAACGCGAAAGTTTAAAAGTTAGTATAATAACAGCCTTTAATAGTCCACTGCTGGACATAGGCCTCTCCTTAGAAAGGAGGTTTTGTCCTACTATACCACACTGGTCAGACGGGTTGGCATAGGGTTTGTTTCAGGCGGCGCGGCGACGGCCGACAAATTCGCCGAGAAGTTGAGGGGTATTTTCGCCGCCACGGACGGTGTTAAGATCGCCAGGCCCACCAAATGCGCGGAACTGCGCATCTCGGGCCTGGACGACTCCATCACGTCGGAGGATGTCCGCGATGCAGTCATGGAGAAGACTGGGTGCACCGCGGACACCATCAGAGTCGGCACCGTCCGTCCGGGCCCGGGAGGCCTCGGTGCGGTGTGGGTGAGCTGTCCCGTGGCGTCGGCCAAAGCACTGGGCGACGCCGGGAGCATTCTCGTCGGCTTCGTAAATGCCAGAATCACGGTTCTGGCCGCGAGGCCGATGAGGTGCTTCAAGTGCCTAGCCGCGGGACACACTCGCACCAAGTGCGAGAGCTGTTTTGACTGCAGCGGATTATGCTTCCGCTGCGGTCAACCCGGGCACAAGGCGGCAGAGTGCTCTGCCGCCCCCCACTGCCCGGTGTGTGAGGCGGGCAAAAAGCCCGCCAATCACATGATGGGGCAGGGGGGCTGCAAGCCTCCCCGCGCTTCTCGGCAAACGCCGGGGGCTAGCCTGCCGACCCAGGCTACCCCCGACGTCAATATTGCGTCGACGCCGACGCCCATGGAGGAGGTTGTAGAGACGATCCAGTAATGGATCAAGTCTCCAACCTCCTGGTCCAGACGAATCTCAACCACTGTGCTGCGGCGCAGGATCTCTTCCTGCAAACCATGGCACAGTGGTCGATAGGTGTTGCCGTAGTCGCGGAGCCCTACTTTGTTCCTCCCCGTCCAAACTGGATGGGTGACCGGGACGGCTCCGTGGCAGTCGTCGGCTCCACGGCGGCTCATTCCCCGCCCTTGTCGCTAAGAGACAAGGGTACTGGATATGTTGCCGCCGATTGGGGGGGAATCACCATTTATGGTGTATATTTCTCCCCCAACCGGAGCTTGAACGACTTCGAGGTCTTCCTTAACAACTTGGAGGCCTCGATGCGGCGACTAGTGTCTGGGCACGTCCTCGTGCTGGGGGACTTCAACGCAAAGTCCATTGCGTGGGGTTCCCCTGCGACGGACGCCAGGGGCGAAGCCGTCGAGGAGTGGGCGGCGTCGGTGGGCCTCTGTTTGCTGAACAGGGGCTCCACCAACACGTGCGTGCGACAGCAGGGGGGGTCGATAGTGGACCTTTCGTTCGCTACCCCTGCAGTCGCCGCACGAGTAAGGAACTGGTGTGTCCTGGAAGAGGTCGAGACGCTCTCGGATCATTTGTACATCCGATTCGAGCTCTCCCGGTCCCAGGACCCCAGTAGGGGTCACGCGGCGCGGCGCCCTTCCCGCTTCCCGCGGTGGGCTATCGCCAAGCTCGACAGGGACCTACTAGAGGAGGCGGCCATTATTTACTCTTGGCTGTCTCCGCAGGCCCCGACCGAGGAGGTCGACATGGGGGCTGGTCGCTTCTGCAATGCGATTACGCAGATTTGCGATGCGGCCATGCCCCGCGTTCGTGGTTGTCGGCCTCCAAGGAAGGAGGTCTACTGGTGGTCCCAGGAGTTGGCGGACCTCCGTGCGGCCTGTGTACGTGCCCGGAGGTCCCTCACCCGTAGTCGGCGACGTCACCGCGGGGTCGGTGAGGAGGTGGACCGGCTTCATGAGGAGTACCGAGAAGCTCGGAAAACTCTGAGAAATAGAAACAATACAAAGTTACACAAAACTTACAAGTTAGCTACATACAGAAGAAAGTGCAATGGCGTATTTACCCTAGGGCCAAAAGGGCCATGGCCCGAGGCGGCAGGCTGCGTGGGCCAACGCAAGCCACCCCTTTTTTTGTGTGGAAACCCCCTCGGACCGTTGTATCACTCCACTTGGGTTACGGCGGGGCTGTGTGTCGGAATCGAGCCGACTAAAACCACA